AAGCAGGATGTTTGGAGTCATCTTGATGGATAATGTGAACTTAATTGGAAGCTACTCATGTGACAGAGCAAGGATTTATCTAAAGTTAAGGGGAAAATTAATTTTTAAAAAAATCCTCTTATTGTTCAGCTTATGTGCTATCTCCTTAAATTCTTGCATAGCCTGGGAGCTCTGTTTTCCCATTGCTAGGAGTGCTGGATTTATTACCATTCTTCCAATAAAAATGCAGATTCTTAGCTCTGAAAAACCTGGCTCTGATAAGAATACATTTATTGATGGGCTTGCTTTTTCCTCTTGTCTCTTCAAGCAAAAATATATCTCCTGTTTATAGCAGAAGTTAAATCATGGTGTGTTGGGACTTCAGTTATGAAAATCTTGATCCTATCTTTATTATGGGAAAGGTAGATTTGAAAACCTTTGCTAGAGTTTCAGGCATACCACTTAAAACTCTTGCAGTTCCTTTTGTATTTGGGGGATTGACTGCGCCAGAACAACAACTATTTCAGAATCATTTTATGTAGTGCTTGGCCTGTGAAAGTGTTTTCCCTTCTTCTGACTGTCTGTTGAAGTCCTTCAGTGAAGGACAGTGAAAGCTTATGCTAGTAACTTAGATGCCTTAATGAATTTCTTTCTGGGTTATTGGTAAAACAATGTGTTTTTCCAACATGGAGAAGCTTTTTATTTTAAGACTTCATTTCCTGATTTTTACCTTAAACTAACAATGGAAAGAATTTTCCAAAAATGTTTAGGAAGCCAAGTCTTTGAAAGGAAACAGTTTCACATACTGATTATTCCTGCATTTCTCTTAGCTCCTCAGTTATGTCACATTAGCTCAGTAATTCTTTTAGTGCCTTCTAGTCCTAACCAGGTGTTGTACTAAATGGAATGAAATGCATAGGTTTTCCTTCTTTGAGCAGTCTTCTAGTTTCAACTCAAAATACTGATAAAGGGATAATTCTGATGCTTAACTGGTATCTCTATTACAGGGAGAAGATTCTGTTTAACATTATTACTGTTCCTCATCATGGCTGAACTGTCACCTGAAGAGATTCAGATGAGGGCCAACCAGGTCACTGATGAGGTAATAGGGGAAGCCATCTGGGATTACAGTACTTACCTGCCAAGATTACAGTATCTTTTAAAAATAAAGACAGTCTAGTGTAGCGATTGTGCAGGGTTATAGCTGAATGTTTCAAACCCTCACATTACTTAGTAAATACTGGGGTGAAGACTACTCCTAAAAGTAAGAGTGAATTTAAACTTCTGAATTATAAAGCCACTTACTTGACTGAGTACTGATCACCCAGTCCTGATTACTGAGACAATGCAGGTTGGGTACCTACACTATTCTTAACGATGGTGATACATCATGACTTAATGTGTTTAACTAAAATGAATCTGAATGTTTTCTTTTATAATGACTTTCCAATGGGATAAGCAAAGTACTAGCAAGTATTAAAAACCAAGGGTTTATTAGCAACTGGAAAAAAACTAGTATGCTGCCATTGTGAGTGTGTTGTAGTGTGTATTACGTATAGACCGGCTGATGAACCTTTGTATAGTAGTTGCCTTACTGCAATGAACTGCTGAAGACTACTTTCAGACACTGATACATTAATGCCCTCATTTTAAAATTATCTTTCTAGTCTTTGGAAAGCACAAGGAGGATTCTTGGCTTGGCCATTGAGGTAAGGAAAAGCTTTTTGAATTGCCTGGGGCCTTATAAGCAGCAGCATGTTAAGTATCACATCTTAATCACTTTATCAAACTTTTTTCGAGATACACATGACATTAATAGAAGTTGCTGCTTTAATTCAGTAGCAGAGTTGGAATGACTTAAACCTCATGTTTTTCACATTATGCAAAGTCAGATCACAGAAGGACCAACATCCTTTTTAACCTGTTTTCCTCTTAAGCAAAATGGCCAATCTCCAAAGGTTACAGATCAGTTATAAAAAGTCTTCTGTGATGGTCAGTTATGGTTTTGGCTGCTGCATCACTTGCTTCTCGTAACATCTTCCATTTGTCTTTTAGCTCACTTTGCCTGTGAACAGTGTGGAAATGGCTTGCTGTGAGGAGGCGGGTAGGGCTCAGTTGGGTCAGGGAGTAGAGCATAGGGCTGCTTTTAAGCTTCTAAACAAAAGTAGTTCTACCTACACCTTCTTACCATCTGCTCATCAGTTATAACTCTAAAGATAGTTAAGATGATGAGACTCTTAACACCCTTGTACATGAGCCTGTACTCGCTGTCCAGATAGTAGCAGGCTGCTGTGGAACTTCAGTTCAGCTGCTGTTACCAGTGAGGTATTTAAATTGGTGTAGCCTAATGAATACCTCTCAAACACAAATGTTAAGAACGTGTAATGACCCAACACAATTTCTCTTGGTATCATAGTTTGGTGATTCATAGGAGCTAAAATAACTCCTACTATAGCCAGTTCTATGCTGCCAGCTTATGGTAAAGCATGGGTGCAGCTCACATGCTAGATTCAAGACTTTGAGCCAGCAAATAGCTGTACTGTAGCGTATTCCTCGCTGCTGTTTTTTTCTGCTTGGTTCTAAAATAAGTGATGGGCTATTCTCTTCCTGATGTGCTGAATTCTTAAGAATGGTTTTGCAGGCTTTGTTTTGCTTTCTTTTATTCTGGCTTCCAGGACTAAAGGCCTTGTCAGCCCTATGGAAGTGTATAGGGATAAAGAATGAACTAAATGCCACTTTTCAAAACAAGGCGCAGCTAGGTTTCCTTTTCTTAGCTTGTCATTGTCATAGTTCGATCTGAGTATTACAATAAATTTTATCATGCTGTTGTAATGCAAGAAAAAAAAATCACAAAAACCTACTAATTGGGTTAGTCTAACAGGTGGGATTTTTATCAGGCTGGCATAGGATCTAATTTGAAACTTAGCATAACTTTACTACAGAAGTTATCCCTAGCACAGTGTTTTATTATGAACTTGATTGGTTTATCAAATTTACTGTAGAGACCTGAATTTGCACTGCTGTGCTGAAATCTGTTTTCATAAATTTCTCTGCAGTCTCATGATGTTGGCATCAAAACTATCACCATGCTGGATGAACAGGGAGGTGAGTTCTTCCTTCTTCCTCTCTAACATTAAAAATCAATTTTGTGACTGTAAGAAAAAGGATTATCATTCAGAGTTGTTGCTGAAACTAAAGACTACTTATGTGAAAATGGGATTTGCTAATTGGTTATTCCCATATGTTTGTAGTATTTAAAAGAGGTTTTAAAGTAGTTAAGAGACCATGTTGGTTACAAAGTAATAAAGCTCTGCTGCAGAAGCTGTTCTTTTCCACCACAGCACGAATGTAACTGTCTGCATTTATTCTAAAAGCAGCAGTGGCAGTGCTGATCTAAGGATAGGGAAAGTATTTTTAATGTAGTAAACAACTTATCATTTTATTTTTAAGAAAGATACTAAAAAAAAATCCCAGAAAGCAGGAAAGAAAAAAGGCATTAGTCTTGGTATAGGGCTAGAACTGAAACTTGTAAGTTACTTCTTGAAAGAAATGTTAATATCCCAACCCCACCTTCCCCGAGTCCATGTTAATTCAGGTTACTTGTTTCTCTTCTAGAACAACTGAATCGCATAGAAGAAGGCATGGACCAGATAAATAAAGATATGAGAGAAGCTGAGAAGACACTGACAGAGCTCAACAAATGTTGTGGGCTCTGTGTCTGTCCTTGTAACAGGTCAGTTAAAGTGGTACTTAGGTCTGAAGTTCTAGAATATTCCCAATAGCTACTGTACTAAGAGATGGTTTCTAATAAAAAAGCTAATTAAAAAATGCTGGATCTCTAGGAAGGTTGACTGTGTTGGTTTGTAGTGGTGCATCCTTTTAAAATTGTATGAGAGTAGCTGAAGCTTACTTGCATCTAACCATATATTGTGCCCCTTTTGCTGTAAATATAACTGCTGTATAATGTCCTGCACAATTGTGCCCTAATCTTCTTAAAGCTTATATTTGGTAGTATACTATCAATGTGCATACAGGTGAGACCAAACTGGACTGCAAATAGCTATATATAAGTGTCTGTCTGTTAGAAATTTGACTCCGAAAGTCATTTTTTCACAAAAGTACCTTTTGTACTAACTTAGAAGCAAGAAAACTCCTGTTTTGGAGAAGGAAAGTTATATTGTTTTTTCTGGGCATTTAAAAAATGCTCATGCTTTAGGGGGGAAGAGAATAGAACAGATGTTAATACTAAAGCTTTTATCTTTCACTAGTGACTACAAAAATTCTTGCAGACCTGCTTCACAGTACTTTTGTAACATCGGTGTTATTGCTACTGTATCCAAGTCAGGTGTAATCTAATCTTTTGCACGGCACTTGGTTTGTACTTCTAAACACCTAAGTAGCTTAAACAACGATCAGAAATCAGTATTGTAACGAAAGCAATATTTATTTTTGGAGGTGTGTTAGCCTTATCTCTAAGCAGCAAAGTATCAAATTGGTTTGTGTGAATTGGATGTGATCATAGTTCTTCCAAGTGAAGAAGAAAATTTTAAGTGTGTGACCACTTAAGTGAATAGTCTGTGTGTTTGCTCATTTTTAGCTCTTTAACATGAGAAAAAAAAACCCATATTCAGCCTAGAAGTAGCAGAAATTTAGGTAAAAATTCCTTGGACCAGCTGAGTCTGCTTGTCCGACAGAATAATACTTTGAGGATCATTTAGGATAGCTATGAGTGTGGCTTCTAAGGCTGAAAGGCTTGGAGCTAGTCCTTTGAAAAGGCAGATAGTTCTGTCCTGACCCCTGCATAGGTGTGCTTACTGTTTCGTATTAGTTTTATCAAGTTGGACTTTGAGCATTTCAACACTCAGTCTGTTTTCTGTAGTTGACAGTCTTATTTCACAGAAGTTAAGCAGCTTATTGGCACTGAGTAGGCTCAGAATTTGTGGACTCCTGTGGTGCTCCAAATATACAGACAACAAAGGGAAATAATGAGCTGTGTACCAAAATGAGCAATAATGTGCAGCAAAATCTACTAAATAAGAGGGCAGTGAAGAAGAAACTGTGAATGCCTCTCATATATCTACTGGTACATCGATTTTTATGTTAATGTCAGAGTTATTTGTCAATTAGTTGCCTCCAAAGCTTTTCTTTTTTTTAAAAAGCTAAATCAGTACACTTGCTGAACTAAATATTGCTGTTCTCATTTCTCCTAGGCTTAAATTATTTATAAAAGCTTTGTGAAAACACACAGAATACTGGCAGTACTCTAATATAATCTATGTACTAGTAACAATTTACCTGTTTGCTGGTCTTTACTATTCTTTCTTCTCCATTCTCTCCTAACACTGACTGACTGCTTGCTTTCTAAAAATGAAGACTAGGATAAGAAGCTGTATTCACTTAACTGGTGAAAGCGGATTTTAGGACAAGGTCAGTCTTATTAGTGCAGATCTACATTTAACCAGCTATCTGAAGTGATGCTTCTATTGGATTTGTGCTTGCATGTGCATGATGTCTGCATGCAGGTCTCCTTGTGACTATGATGTGTTATAACATTGACATGAATGGAAAATGTCAATTACTATGGAGTGTACTAGTTGTGGAAGTGTTGAACTGCTTGGTTTGACAGGTTCTATGAATTGCCTTACTCTTACAGAAATGAAACATGAGAAAAGCGAATGTATAGTAATTTGAAAAAAGCTCTTAAAAAAAAATCAGGCGGTGAGCAGCTTTATTCTTAACTGTGCTCTAGTTTGAGCAACAATTCTGTTTCTAGCTCTCTACTTCACATGTGCAAGTAGTTTTCAGGCCACTTGTCCTTGTTCAATAAATTCCTCGCAGTTACCTCTGGCACCTAAGACTTTTCTAGGCCAGAAGTGAAGCATACAAAGCTCTCCTGCTGTTGTGGCTTTAGTGTGAATGAGATTAAAATGTGGTGCTCAACCTAGTTGCTGCAAACATAGAGATCTTTAAGCCTGTGTATGCACAAGGAGCTAGAACTGACTAGTTGAGGTTTCTCTGGGGTTCTGCTGGATGCAGCAGTTCCATCATGAACTGAGAAGTTACTCCGTTTCTTCCCCTTGATGTATTCATACTAGATTACTTTTCATAGGATCTGATTTATGAAATATAATTTCCCATTTCAATTACATAAATGCTAGAAGAATGAGGGGAGTGTTTCTTCATTACAGCTAATTTCACACCTCTTCAAATGTGAAACATCTGGGCTTCTGAAAGGCACTAGAGATATAGAAACTGATTACCTGTAATTGTAAGGTTAGATGTACTGAAAGACACAACATATTTCCCTTCATAGGCTTTTAAAGAAGCAGAAAAGTGTCTGTATTATCTAGCTTAAACCTGAAAATGCCAGCAAACAAAGTGAACATGTGAATTAGAGTTCATAAGAACTGACCCTAATTTAGATCGCTTATTTTTCTGTTATGTTTTCTTTCCCTCTTGCTCTTGTGGGTCTGTGATTCTTGAGATTGTTCCATCTTGGTGTGCTTTCGTTAATTATTTCTCTTCTGAATTATGTCTAAAAGTGTTATGGTAAGCTGGTTTGTTGCTTTAATGGGGTTAGTACAATTGAATTGCAGAAAGGAGGAGCTATTTAAACATGGTTACTGTTATTTCAGAATCAATGTTAAATTTAAAAAGAAAGACTTGGCAACAGAAAATGTTTGACAAAAAAACAGTAGAGGTTAATGGTTTTCTTGCATAGTGTAGCTGTTTGTATTTGAGGGAGCTTTTTTCCTTCATCCCTGTTTCTTCCCTGAAAAGTAACTAGTCCTGACTCCAGACTAACTCCTGTTGTTAATGCAACTTTATCTTATGACAGTGTAAGCTTTCCTGTTACTGTCATAAGCTTCCCCTCTTCCAGTAAAGCATATTACTTTAAGGAGAATACTGTGCTTGTATTAAAGCTTAAGACCAAGTTAATCACTGTCCCCAGAGCAACTCAGTTATGTTTGTACTGTCCCACTATAAGAAATTGTACTGTATAGACAAGGCTTTGTCTATACAAAATCTCATCTCTTTCAGGCACAAGACAAATGTTTCTGAAAATCCTAGATTAATACAGAACTTCAGTCAGGAAGACATATTTCAGATGTAGCAGTTCAGATTTCTTATTTTTATGGAGTAGGACAAAGAATTTTGAGGCTAGCAAGCCATACAGAGCAACCTGGGGAGATAGAATGGAGAATTCGGCGGATCATGTGATATCCATGCAACCAAGAAGTATGAATCAGCAGCAGCCCCAGACTTCTGGAGGACCAAGTGGTGGATATATTACAAGGTTTGCTTCTTCATATTTCTCAATCTCAAATGCAGAAATCCTAAGTTACCAGTTGCCAGCTTCTTTCAGATGCATTTTGGGTGAAGTTGGTTTTTACTTGTGCTTGGAGGAATTGTTACTGCTTGGAGAGGAGATGGCAGACGCTGTTTTCAGTATTGTAGTTCTCATCTTATACTTTTGGTTTTTTCATAGTGGTGGTATTATCAGTCTGTTTCTGGATGTGAGGACTATAGAGCTTAGTGCTTAGTTATGAGGGGACTTAAAAATATCAAGGACTTTTGATGTCATAAAGTATATTTGAGACAAACTTATGTATTAAACAACTTCTGGTAGCTGTTATTTTAAATTCTGTTGTTGTAGTAGCGTCTAGCTTAGCACCTTTTTTTTGGTGGGCTGCTTGCTTGGAATAAATGGGGGTTTGGAAGGGGAAAAACATACCTTGGCTTGAATTGTTGCCTGTCAGACAACTGTGCAACAAACAATTTCTATTAAAGTAAATTTAGGGTAGGGAAAAGCATGTTCTTGGTTCTTGGAAACACTGTCTTAATTATTTGAGCAGGATAACAAATGATGCCAGAGAAGATGAAATGGATGAAAATCTTGCTCAAGTGGGAAACATTCTTGGGAATTTGAAAAACATGGCTTTGGATATGGGTAATGAGATTGATGCCCAGAATAAACAAATAGACCGGATAAATGTAAAGGTAAGTGTCAAAGGTGTTCTCTGCCTTCAGCTTAGAGATTGTTACTGAGAGGGAATGCTATAAGGAATGGCCTTGTATTTACCATAAATATGCATTAAGATTACACCAACCTCCAGGTTGGGACTGGTCTTGTTAAACATCTTTATCGATGTAAGTTTGCAGATGACACTGAATTGGCTGGGAGTGTTGATCTGCTTGGGGATAGGAAGGTTCTGCAGAGGGACCTGGACAGGCTGGATCGATGGGCCAAAGTCAATTGTATGAGGTTTAGTAAGGCCAAGTGCTGGGTCCTGCACTTGGGT